CCGTCGGTGGAGTCCCCTATGGAGCCACGAACCGTATGAGGGGTGTGCCGAAATGGGTGGCGGGGACGCGCGTAAATTGCGCCATTGGGGCCTTCGGTTGAGCCTGCTATGGGGCCACGAGCCGTGTGAGGACTGTGCCGAAATGGGCGGCGGGGACGCATGCAAATTGTGCCACTGGGGCCTTCGGCGGAGCTCCCTATGGGGCCACGCACCGTGTGAGGGGTGTGCCGAAATGGGTGACGGGGACGCACGTAAATTGTGCCACTGGGGCCTTCGGTGGAGCTCCCTATCGGGCCACGAGCCGCGTGAGGGGTGTGCCGAAATGTGTGGCGGGGACGCATGTCAACTGCGCCACTGGGGCCTTCGGTGAGGCTTCCTGTGGGTCCACGAACCGTGTGAGGGCGAAATCGGTGGCGGGGACGCATGTCAACTGTGCCACTGGGGCCTTCGGTGAAGCTCCCTATGGGGCCACGAGCCGCGTGATGGGTGTGCGGTAATGGGTGGCGGTCCGCACTATGAATTGTACCATTGGGCTTTTCGGTGGAGCTCCCTATGGAGCCACGAGCCGTGTGAGGGGTGTGCCGAAATGGGTGGCGGGGACATGTGTCAATTGTGCCACTGGGGCCTTCGGTGGAGCTCCGTATGGGGCCACGAGCCGTGTGAGGGATGTGCCAACATGGATGGCACGGACACGTGGGATGATGATTGCGATGATGATGATGATGATGATGATGATGATGATGATGATGATGATGATGATGATGATGATGATGATGATGATGATGCTGATGCTGATGCTGGATGCTGATGCTGATGCTGATGCTGATGATGAGCTGATGCTGATGCTGAATGATGATGCTGATGCTGATGCTGATGCTGATGATGCTGATGATGGTGATGGTGATGGTGATGGATGATGACGCTGATGATCCTGATGATCCTGATGATGATGATTGTGATGGTGATGATGATGAGGTGATGATGCTGATGATGATGATGATGCTGATGGTGATGATGATGATGATGATGATGATGATGCTGATGATGATGATGATGATGATGATGCTGATGATGATGATGATGATGATGATGATGATGATGATGATGATGATGATGATGATGAGGATGAGGATGATGATGATGATGCTGGTGGGGATGATGATGAGGATGAGGATGGAGAATGGAGGATGGGGGGAGGAGCGGGCGGAGGCGCTGGAGGAGGAGGAGGCGGAGAAGGAGAAGGAGGAGGAGAGGCAGAAAGGAAGAAAGGAATGAAGGAACGCGGAGCGCTGTCTTTTTCAAAGCGAGGACACAACACCACAGATGGTTGGACACAACAGCCCGTCGGATGGCCGCGGCCGCCGCTTGGCGGGAGAGCCCTCAGATCCGGGCGTCGCAGCCACTAAGTCGCGACGACAGCTTCTTTTGTTACGGCCTGGTGGGGGCCGCTTCTCGGCACGGCGCCCTTCCCGATACAGGGCGATATCCCTGGGGGCCCACGAAGGAAGCTCCGAGCGGGACAAGCCCTAGGCCCCCCCCAGGGGCGCGAAGATAGCCGCGTCTCGCGCCTCGCGGTCTGGGCAGTAGAGAGTTGCCCTGCTCAAGGCGGCGTTGTGAGGGCCGAAGGTATCCGCGCGACGCGCAGCGCGGAGTCAGCGAGTAGCCGCGCGACGCGCAGCTTGGGAAGCCCGTCGCGGCTTCCCCTGGCAGCTCGTGACGCCCCGCCCCAGCCCCCCCTGGGGAAGTGGGAGGGATGACGCCCGATCCACGGATCGGGAACGATACTTCCGAAGCATGAGGCCAAGGCCACCTCATTTGGCGACGGATCGCGCCGATTCGGGCCCCGTCGCTATCTCACGCGTCGTTAATCCATGTTTGCGTTTCCTCGAGTCTGACCGACAGCAGTTCCTCTCCCCATTTTTGAGCCGGGTTTGTTGTCGCGTGGCAGCGGGAGCCGTCCGCGTGAAGCGAGAGGTTATTGTAGGTTTGGGGCAGCGTCTGTTGTTGCGCATGATCCCCATTGTTGGCGTCCAAAGATGCGACCCGCGCTCCCCCCAAACTGCTCAAGCCCCCTCGTGCTTCTCCGCTGTCCTCCGCGAGCCCACCTCCAAGCCTCCACATCCTCTCCTCCGTCCGCTCATCGCCTCCTTCTCGAATCCCCCTGGGACCCCAGATCCCCGATCCCCCTCCTCCACCACTTCCTCCTCCTCGTTCTCCTCCTCAGACGACGACGACGATGACGACGATGATGAGCGATGATAGACGGCGATTGCGACGACCGACGATCGACGACCGAAGAGGACCGCCGTCAAAGCCGTCGCCGTCGCCGCCGCCGCCTTCCTGGACCCACGCCGTGATTCCTGCCGCGCGGGCCCCCGAAGGCGGAGAGCACGGGAAATGTGCCGTCGCGGCTTCTTGCTGCGACGCCCGGATCTGAGGTTACCAGCCTGAGGAGTCATCCTTGTGCCTTGATTGGCATCACCTCATCTCGACGTTGATCGCCAGGAAAAATCAAGCGTCCTTCGCAATGAGACCGGCCCAAAGCACCCCCCTCCAAAGGTAGACCCCCGCCCTTCGCGTACTGTCTACATTTCAATGTCCTTTAGGTCGGGGTCTACATTTCAGGGTGCTTCGGTCCCGCGAAGGTCGACATTTCAGGATCGGTTTGGTCGGGGTCTCCAATTGAGCCCCCTTGCGCGGGTCTACATTTTGAGGCCCTTCTCGCGGGTCTAGATTTGGGGGGCTGCTAGCGTTTCGCTGAGATCGTGAGGATCTTTCAGCTTCTGTGGGCGCGCATCCCTAAGATTGTCATCCGATCTGCGCTTGCCAATCTAGGGTGGCTAGGGCCAGGGGCGAGGAGGAGGAGGAGGAGGCGGAGGAGGAGGAGGAAGAGGAGGACGAGGAGGACGAGGATCCCACTAACACTGTATGTGCGTCGGCCACGCAAGGGCGACGCGCACGCTCGGAAATCTGAAAGCATAAGCTCTCCGTGGCGGGCGCTCTCCGGCCACACCGCTCGGGGAACGATGCTCTCGCCGAACGGTCTTGCCCTGTCCCCAGGTGCGTGGCTGGAATAGGCTCCTGCGGCGCGGATTCGTGTTCTTTGGTTTTGTTGTCGTCCCACCCGCGACACCCCCCGCGACACACCCGCGACACACCCGCGACCCAATCGCGACCCACCCGCGACCCAACCGCGACCCACCTTGCGACCCACCCGCCACCCACCCCGCGACTAACCCTGCGACCTACCCGCGACTCACCCGCGACCCACCCGCGACCTACCCGCGACCCACCCGGCGACCCACCCGTGACCCACACGCGATCCGCCCGCGACCCACCCGCGACCCAGCCTGTACTCGCCATCTTTCTATTATCCGCAATTGCAGGGTGCTGTCTTTTTTCTGTTCGGCTAAGACGTGCGTCTCCAAACAGAGGCACTCAGTGCGAGTGTGTCATTAAGCGTCCCATGGTTAAGAAGTCTGCCGCCGCGATTTCTCTGCGGCGCCCGGGTCCGCATCGTCGTCGAGATCCGGCGGCGCGAACATGCTGAAACGTGCAGGAAATCACAACCAGAGCTCTCGACCCCATCTTCCGGCATTAGTTTTTGAGCCGCATCGATCTGCGAGGGCCCCGCGGCCCGAAACCGGGCGGAAACGCCCGCATCCGACTGAAAATTGTGGAAACCATACCGCATGCACGTTCCGAGAAATTTCCGCACTCAACAGGCGGCGCCGCAACTCTTATTCGGACCGCGGGGCAGGCCGACAAAGAAAAGCGGGCCAGGCAAGGGCAAACAACGGGCAGGAAAGCGAGGAGCCGAGGAGCGAGAGGGGGAGAGGGCAGGAGGGCGACAGAGAAGGACAGACCGGGCCGACAGACGGACGGACGGGGGGACGGGGAGAAGAAGCCAAGCAAGGAGGGAGAGGGAGACCACGCACACCCGCGAGCCAAGAATCACGAGAAGGCAAGGAGAGAACACGGAGAGGGAGAGGGGGGAGGGGGGGGGAGCCGAGAGCCAAAGACGAGGCTAGGCAGGAGGGACGCACCAAAGGGCCAGCGGGCCGGGGAGGGAGAAGAGGCCCACGGCGCAGCGCTCGGGGTGCCGACGGGCGGCTGGCCGAAGATTCCGGCCAGGCTCCTGCCCTGAGCACCGCGCGCGCGGGGCGGACAAATCCCGCCCCCTATGCATTATTCAACAGGGGCGCGGAGGCACGAGGACGAACAGAAAAAGAGGAGGAGGAGGAGGAGGAGGAGGAGGAGGAGGAGGAGGAGGACGGCACTTAGTCCTCCTCCTCCTCCTCCTCCTCGTCAGTGGCACAGAAGTGTTGCCTCACAGTGGGGAGTGTGCCGTTGGAACTCCCCATGGCCGCTCGTTTGCTGACTGCTCGCGCGGAGCTGCGCGCTATCACAGCCGCGATGCGAGCCAAGAGTTCACGTCTAACCGCTCCCGGCTCGCGCCGCTCCCTGGCGCCTACCGCTGCTGCGATGGCCCGGACCGCCGCGTCAGCAGCCTCGGACGTGCACCCCTGCACTTCGTGCACCACGGGCCAGAAGCGGCATCCTGCCTGAATGCACTGTTGCTCTGTGTTCTGATGAGTTCGCTTGAAGTCGTCGTACTCTTCCACGGCCGCACCCGCGCCCGAAGCCGTGTCTGACCGATGGCTCGGGCCCAACGCGTTGATGACAGCAAAGTCGAAGCAGATGGGCTCGGTCCAGATGGCCCGGGAGCCGTCCCGATGGCTAGGTCCAGATGGCCCATGGCCTGCATGGCTCGAAAACTCGACCTCCGGCTCATTTCTCGATGCACGGGCGCTTCTCGGCGCCAGGCCAGGAAAACCGGCGCCGTGAGCTGATGCTCTGTCCTGCCCTTCACCATCCTGCCCTCTTCGACTCCGTGCGTGTGGCCGATCCGTGCGGCGCCCGGATCCGACGCCGTCGGCGGTCTCCGGCGGCGGCGGCCCGGCGGCCGCCCGCCGGCGGACGGCCAGCGGCCGGCCGAGGCCCCGAGCAGCAGCGGCGGCGCTCGCCCTCGCGCAGCAGGCGCCCGCCCACGCCGCCGCCGAGGCCGAAGGCTTCGGAGGCCCTCGGGGGGGAGAGGGGGGGGGGCGGGGGCTCTGCGCCTGCCCTCCGACCAGAGGCAACGGCGATGGGGGGGGAGGGGAGGCAGGGGGGGGTGCAGCGCCCCCTGATCTGAGCATGTGCCAGCCTGCTTTAGCCGTGGCCACCGGCAAGGATTTCGAGCGCCAAGAGAGTAGCGAAACTGGGGGATTTTCACGTGTCCTGCCCTGGGTGCTCGAAATTAGTTCTGAGATGTGGTCCGCAAGCACGATGGGAAACAACAGAAGCACAGGGACGCATCGACCCCGAATGGCCCACTGACCGCCGATAGGGGCCCGATAGCCCCAGCCTGCCCAGGAACGTGCGGATTCGCTACGGGAGGCTGTCGCCGATTTCTCGGCGCTGCGAGGCGGGGATGTTTCTCCCTCGGAGGAGGGCGAGGTACCCATGCCGCTAGCCTTGCCTCGGCACCCCCTTCTTTGGGCCTCCCATGGGAGGGCCTCGTTGCCACCGCTGGACTCGCCTCGGGATTCTGGTCAGAACGCATCCTGGGAGAGGTCCTGGGAGTAGCGGTATCGGTGCCTTTTGGTTTCCCCAATCCATGATCGCCACCTTGATGAGTTTCGGGAAACAAGCAATGACCGAGGCAGAAGGTTTCGGAGGCCCCCAGGGGTTGTCGGACCTCGAGGGGGGCCCGTTCGAGCGGGGACCCCCATCCGACAACACACACCCATAGCCCTCACGGAGGATCACCCCGACAAATCTGGGGGTCGTGCAAGTATGAGGGTTAGTTGTCAGTTCATCAAGGTGGTGATCAGGATAATACTGAACAAAAGACATAACGACATGATTCTAAACTCTCGAGGCTCCGCGCGTACTTCTTGGATCCGCGCTGGGCCTCGGCGCGCGGAGCGCGCCAGGGGTGCCCAGCGCGGAGTTGCGAACATTTGCGGTTGTATGCCGTGTTGTCTTGCTTTGTTAAAAGCCCCGGGTTGGAGGGGAGGCCAGAGAGCCTTGGGGCACGTTTGCCGCCTCGTCTCGTTTGTCGCGCGGTGGCGTCTGCCCGCCCCCCCTTTTTTGTTGACAGGCTGTCGTGCAATCTGGATTTCCGCCCCTGGCTCCAAAGACTAAACCGCTCTTTAGGAAGTGTGTGTGTGTGTGTGTGTGTGTGTCTGGATTCGGGCTCCTGTCCAAGGCGTACCTTTTCCTGCACTTCGATTTCGGCACCGCCTGATCCCAGGGCTTTGCCCTCTCTCAGCCTTGACGCGAGGCCCCGCCTTCTTTTGTCCCCTTCTCAGCTAATTAAAGCTGTGCGCGGCCCGCTTAGCTTCTATCGGAAGAGGCTCGCTCTCGACCCGCGGATCAAAAAGTGTGTCTGGATGTGCTCGAGGGTGTTCTCGCTTCGGAGTGCGTTCGAGCGGCTCCGCGTCGTTGAAAGCTTTCGGGGGGGGCCCGAATCGCACCGAACGGCTGCCGGAGGCCCGATAACATGGCCCGGACAATGACACCTCCCAGGTGTCATTGCCTTTTTTTCAGCACGCTCCTCGGCTCACCATCGTCCGCGCCCGTGCTTCGGGCCACGATGCGCAAGGCCCCCTGTGCTGGCCCCCATCCTCAGCGCACCCGGAAAGTGAGGATACCTTGACCAAGAGCTCTCGGGAACGCTCTCAGAGACTTACAGGAACGCTTGGGGACGGCTAGGGCGCCCGATATTTAATTACATGCTCCAGACCCGCCGGCCCTCGAAGTCTCCCGATTTATTTATATCTGGAGTTGTCCCCTCCCTGCCGTGCTCGCGTGTTCTCTTGCCGACGCGCCGTTCTGCGCATGGCTTCTTGCGGGGCACCGGTACGGGATGGCTAAGGGGGGGACATCGACCTGGACACATCGCCGATCGATCGGCGATGGGCCCCCGATAGCGAATCCGCACGTTACAGGGCGGGGTTGGGCTGTCCGACCCCTACCGGCGATCAATGGGCGATGGGGAGTCGATGCTTCCCCCCCCTATGCCTATCGTCCCCTATTATTCATTGCCCCTGGTTTGCCCTGCCTCCGTCTTGCTCCAGGAGGGGGAGGGCGAGGTACCTTAGCCTTGCCTCGGTATCCCCCTTCTTGGGGCCTCCCATGGGAGGACCTCGTTGCCACCGCTGGATTCGCCTCAGAACGCATCCCGGGTCCGTAGCCATTTTGGCTCAAGTCCGTAGCCCTTTCGGGTCAGGACCTGGCCTCACTGGCAAGGGGGGAGCAGCGGCCCCCACAGTGCTCCTCCTCGTCTGCCAGGCCAGACGAGGGATTTTGGCTTCTCCCGCTCTCGAGCAGCTGTGGCATGGTCCCCGCGCCCCCGCAGCCCCGCTCCCAGAGCGGCTACCAGACCCGCTCCCAGAGCGGCTACAAGACGTGCTATGGCAAGAGCTCATGTGGGTATCAGTATAATCTGGTGGATTGGGCTCGCTGCTACCGCTGCAAGAAGTGGCTTCGTGACGACCCTGTTCGGGACACGGTCAAGGGGCCTCCCCGTCCATGGTCAGGCGAGCAGCAGTCCAAGGATGCATGGCACCAGGTGGAGTCCACGCGCCGCAGGTCGAAGTCGGGTCCAGTCACGAGCGCTGACCAGTCCCAGGTCGGGAGTGGGAAGGGCGGCACGGCCCAGCAGCGCAGAGGCAAAGGCTCGGACACTGGCGGCAAGCAGACGCAGCGCGACCACCTCGCGGCTGCGGTGGAGCAGCTCACGCTTGCTGGGCTGGCTGACGACCACCCACTCATGGTGGCCGCCAAGGCTCAGGTGCCCTCAGCTGCTGCAGCTCAGCCCGACGAACGTGGCCCACCGCCGTGGATGCGCGTTCGGTCACATCAGGACAAGCTGGCGCACTACCAGGGCCAGCTTACTGCATCGAAGGCGACGGAGGCCAACCTCCGTCAACAGATCACGGAGCTGGAGCAGGACCTGGAGGACTGCGTTGCATCCCAGGCGGCTCTGGCGGAATCGGTCAAGAAGGAAGAGGAGGAGCTCCAGAGGCTCCATCGACGCGCTGCTCTTCACCCTGCTGGCGATGACAGCAAGGCGGCTGTCAACGGGCTGGTGGAGACGCTGTTCGGCCATCTTCCCGAGTCGTTCAAAGTGGCGAAGGCGGACCAGCTTCGCACCGCGGTGGACCTCCTGGGCGACCTGGCTGCTGCTGGGGCCTCTTTCCAGGAGCTGGAGGAGGCGCGGCGTAAGGCGCAGGCCGATGAGGCCGCGCAGCGTGCCATGTCGGGCAGCGGCCCTTCGCCAGCCCCAGTGGAGCCCTCGGACTCACGCGTGGCGGAGGATTGCAAGCAGCAGCTCACCGAGTTGCTGGATGGCGGACAGGCAGGGCAGTACGAAGGTCTCTTCAAGACCATGCTCGAGTTCCTGCAGAATCCCTCTGCCCTCAGCAAGAGGCCCAGGAGGGACGCGCCAGGCCCAGAGGCAGCGGCGGCGGCGGGCCCCTCGGCCGCGCCAGGCCCTGCGGCTGCTGATGTCCCTGTGCCTACTGACCGCGGCGTCGCTGGAGCCCCACCCCCGTCGGGGTAGCGGGTTTGGCGCTGCAGCTGTTGGTCGCCGCCTGCCTGCGCCCGCCTCACACCGAGGCAGCAGGCGCTCCCTGGCGGCGAGTGCTGGGGCTACAGGGGCTGCTGGATCGGATGCTCAGATTCACGGGCCAGCTGACCCTCGGGCGCCGCCACCTGCTGCTGATTCGGGCTCGGAGGTCATGGAGCCTTCTGCCCGTTTCGCTCGGCGGCCTGAGGCGGCCCGTCGGCCTGATGTCTGGAAGCTGTGTACGGCCAACATCACATCCTGGGGCATCGAGTGCGGGGACAAGGGTAAGGTCACGCGACGGCCTTTCCTGGAGCTCTGCGACTCAGTTGATGCCGACATCTACGTGTTCCAAGAGCACCACCAGACGTCGCTACGGTTGGTGGACGTTCAGCAGGCGCTGGTCAAGGCTGGCATGGTCTCGCTCCTCGCCCCAGCTGCCCCCTCAGGTCGTTCAGAGGCTGGGACCACTGGAGGAGTTGGCATTGCGACTTCGAAGCTCTGGGGCCTCAAAGGACTCGACGATTTGCCTGAGTGTATCGCTGTTCCTCCTGGATGCCGCTTTCGTCTGGGGCTCTGGAGTGGGCTATGTTCTGGAGGCGTTTTAGTCGGATCGGTCTACCTGCACACTGGAATCGGCTGCCGCGGTCAAAATCTTTCCTTGCTGCATAGTATTGGGGAGGTCCTGAGGGCGTATGGCATGCCGTTCATCCTGGGCGGGGATTTTCAGTTTTCAGCGGAGCAACTGGTCGAGTCTGGTTGGATTGGGGATCTTCAGGCTGAGGTGGTCTCTGACGTCTCGAATTGGACCTGTCAGTTAGGTACGTCTCGGTCGTCCATCGATTACTTTGTCCTCTCCTCCTCGCTCAAGCAGTTTGTGGTGAGCTGCTCAGTTGCGACATGGTCCACATGTGCCAGACCGTACCGCCCTGTGGTGTTGAGCATGTCTGGCCACCCGCGACAGGTGACAGTTCCCAGGCTCAAGAAGCCATCGGCGTTCCCTCTCCACCGCCCTGTGGGATGCGACCCTCGCCCTCTGGAGTGGGATGACTTGCTGGATCAGCTTTCCCAGGGGGACTGTACCAAGGACCGCTTGGATGCTGTCACTTCTCTGTGGGTTCAAAGGGCTGAGGTGGCGCTATCTCGCGTACTTCATGTAGATGGGGATCCACGGTACCGAGGCCGAGGAGGCCCCCCCAAGGTGGTGCAAGTCCCTCTGCTCGGCCCCCCTGCCTCCACTCATCCCAGGGCCATTGGGGAGGGCCGTATGTGGCGTGTCTTGGAGAGGCGACTCCAGGACATCATGTATCTCTGGCATGGGCCTGCGCCCACCTTGGGGGGGGGATAAAACAAGCGGGGATCCTCTTGCGGAAGCTCGTGCACTACCAGTCCCCCTACACCGATTGCAAGCATTGGGCTTCTTGGCGTGTTCGGGTTCTGGCCTTCAACCCTTCCAACGTCTCGGA